TCTGAACGACCACGTTGTGGCAATGTTGCAAGCAGATCTTGTCCCTCCCGCCTGCAAGAGTATCAGGCTCAGGACAATGTAGCCAAACAAGGCATGAAGCGTCCTCAGTCAACTTCGCACAGAAAGAGCTGGTCTTTGAACAATTGAAAGCTCACTATGCACTTTATGCTGAAGGGCGCGTTTAGGGTTTGTTGAGACCTTGAATCTTTCTATAGAATGATCCCTGCCCTGCCAAGCAACTTAGCTGGAGGATTGCCCGGATCAAAGCCAAATTGTGAACCACCTGCCAAAATCCAAGCAAGAGAGGCAAACATCGAAGCATTGTGCTCATTCATCTGCGGTTCACTTGGCTCAGGAGCTGATCCTCTTTCTGAGTTGTGTGACTTCAACACACGTCACCAGCGGAGTCACGCATATCCGTCTCCCTCGTCGCCTACAAGTCGGTGATTGCTAAAGATGCACACGTATCCAGCCTGAGCGGATGACGAAGACTTCAAAACGTTGGTTAAAGCTTTCAGTGCTTGTTTTCCATCCCAAAAACTGCCCAAGCTCTGAATGAAGTGGTGCTTTTTGGAGAAAAAGGGCAACGACCCTTTTAGGGTCACAGCTCGGACGCCGGCCACTGCGGCCAGGACGGCGGCGCTTTGGATCGCAGCATGAAACGTCCGCGCCGAATCTCTGCTCCTGGCAAGCGCAAGTGGACGCAGGTGCTTTAAGCCAAGCGTTTCAATCCAGACTATGGTCAAAGGAAGTTTAGTTTACGAAACTTCCGTGTTACGGACATTCAAGAACTGTTCATCCACTCATCAATACACTCATCATACACCACTCATCAATACACCACTCATCAATACACCACTCATCATACACCACTCATCATACACCACTCATCAGTACACCACTCATCATACACCACTCATCAATACACCACTCATCATACACCACTTATCATACACCACTCATCATACACCACTCATCATACACCACTCATCATACAACTCATCATACACCACTCATCATACACCACTTATCATACACCACTCATCACACACCACTCATCATACACCACTCATCATAAACCACTCATCAAAAATCACTCATCATACACCACTCATCATACACCACTCATCATACACCACTCATCATACACCACTCATCACACACCACACATCATACACCACTCATCATACATCACTCATCATACACCACTCATCATACACCGCTCAATATACACCACTCATCATCCAGTTTGCTCTAGTTTCAAGAGCTCTAGCTCCAGTTAGCTCTAGTTTCAATAGCTCTAGCTTCAGTTTACGCGGCAGGCGCAGCGCTTTGTGAACCTCCATGTGCAGATTTCGTGGCAGGCACAGCACTTTGTGAACCTCCATGCGCAGAGTTCGTGGCAGGCACAGCACTTTGTGACCCTCGATGTGCAGATTTCGTGGCAGGCGCGTTACTTTGTGAACCTCCATGTGCAGATTTCGTGGCAGGCACAGCACTTTGTGAACCTCCATGCTTCTCCGAACCTCGACGGGGAAGCTCCGCGGAATCGACGGTTGCGAGACGGTCTCGGGTCATGGTCGGATCATGTCCCTCCATTGTGATTAGAGGTTTCAGTTGATTCTTGAAGTGCAGATTTCGTGGTAGGCACAGTGGCACAGCACTTTGTGAACCTCCATGTGCAGATTTCGTGGCAGGCACAGCACTTTGTGAACCTCCATGTGCAGATTTCGTGGCAGGCGCAGCACTTTGCGAACCTCCATGCGCAGATTTCGTGGCAGGCACAGCACCTTGTGAACCTCCATGTGCAGAATTCGTGGCAGGCACAGCACTTTGTGAACCTCGATGTGCAGAGTTCGTGGCAGGCGCATTACTTTGTGAACCTCCATGTGCAGATGTCGTGACAGGCGCATTACTTTGTGAACCTCCATGTGCAGATGTCGTGGCAGGCACAGCACTTTGTGAACCTCCATGCTTCTCCGAACCT